TGCGGTTACAGGAAAAAGGCCTTTACGTCCTCTCTCAGATTTCTTTCTGTCGGGACATTGCGGATTCAAACATTTTAGAGAACGATTTTACTATGAAAAAATGAAAGAAAATGTTTCTTATGTACTGTAAAAAAGGTTTCCCTTTAAAAAGAAGGTTTCAACTTATACCTTTCTTGAATGTTCGGAAAGTCAGCTGACAGAGATAAATTTCTGATATCATTTGCGTACCATCTGAAGGCAACTGTAATTTCTATCATCTAATGTTAATAAAATATCAGAGTAATAAACACGGCTGAAAGAGAGATGTAAATCTCTTTTCTAAATTTCTGTGCGATTTAACATATGCCATGTAATTTGCAAATAGACAATAAAGTTGACAATTGATGAAGAAGATCCTGTCCTCCATATTCCTTCCATATTCCATATAAAGTATAAAAAACTATATTTATTTATTGTATCGATAATAAAGAGTTGTGATGCAATTAAAATTTGTTCGTATTAATGAAAAATTGTATTATGCACTTATTATGGTAAAAATTTATTTTGTGTTAGCAAAAAATACTTAAAATGATAATACGATTATGTCATTGCCGTAATAGCAATTTATTAGTTAAATTAGATGGAGATCGAGATTAGGTTAGATTTCAAAATTGTACAAAATACCTAAATTAAAATAATTTTTAGATGCATTAATATATAACCGAAAAAAAGAGATTTATTAAATAACTAACATAATTAAAATTATATATATATCACAAGATTTTTTTATATAATCGAATCATGTTAAGCAGAAATATATAATCAAATATTGTTTTCATTTATAAGACATATGTAAAAAAGTTTACGCGATTTGCAAAATGAAAAATCAACTAGGAGTAGCAAAAGATGTTACAATAATAAATTCAGTATTAATATTTTAAATAAATAATGGAATAGGTAACTTAATTAATATAAAGTTATAAATATATGTATTGCAAATATATATTTTTTTTAAATGGATAATTTATGTACATATACATAATGTTAAATGCTATAATTATCATACGTGTATAACATCATGTATTTAAAAAGAAATTTGAATCAACTACAAATAAATAATGCATAATATAATATTAATATTATAATTTTATAAAGCGAAATGATCAATTTTAGAAAAATATCGGAATTGAATAGGCAAATTATATATAATAGAAGAATCGAAAAATATAGAATGGTTAGAAAACGAGTTATGCTCGATGAGTATGTCTTCTATTCAATACTTAATACTGATATTCCTATGGAATTAGGAGTGGCAGCAAGTATGGTAAGAATTAAAAATAAAATAGTTATTAAAGCATTTTAACCACTTAATACCAAGTGCAAATATAATAATTTTAAGTGTTTATTGGATGTCTATTTTTAATATCACATATATGTGTTTTAAAATAAATTAAAAAACAATAATATAATATACGGACAATGAGAGCGTTACACAGCGCGATAATTGGTGCGCAATTTATACAATAGTCTAATAATATTCACATAATATATATATTAAAAATGTACAGTGACTGTCGATATCAGCTTATTTGTCGACACCCAGTGAGAAATGACAATGGAATCGACGTCAAATCGACGTCGAATTGACATCGATTCCATTGTCATTTCTCACTGGGCAGTCACTGTACATTTTTAATATATATATTATGTGAATATTATTAGGCTATTGTATAAATTGCGCACCAATTACCGCGCTGTGTAACGCTCTCATTGTCCGTACATTAAAGTATTGTTTTTTAATTTCGAGAGCCCGATTAGTATTTAATTTTGATTTTAAAATAAATTGTTTAATAATAAGAAATTAATCGAGTTTTAATATACATTTTATATTTTTGTAGATAACACGTGGAATACTTGGACTTCATAATAAATTAGCAACCGATCGAGCAAAGAATCCCTATGTTGTTCAATGGCAGAATTCCGGGTAATGAATACAAAGTTTCTGTTTTCTTATTAATCTTGTTTTAGTAAATATTTAATATAAAATTTCTTCAAATTTTTTATTTAAGGGGATCCTAAAGCCGTCTGTATTACCAATTAAATCGTAATTTTTGTATAATAAACTTTTTCTTGTATAATACTTTTTTTCTTTCACAGATTCGAAAATCTTTTTCCAGGATCAAAATATACACATTAATACGTGTTTGTGAGGTGGAGTTAATGCCGAGAACGATAAAAAATTTTTCTTAAGATTTCAATTTCGAAATATTTGTCGTTCTCGGCATAAATTCTACCTCACTAACACGTATTAATGTGTATACTGTAATCCTGGAAAAGGATTTTCGAAAGAGAAGAGAGAGAGAGAGAGAGAGAATCTGTGAAAGAGAAAAAAGTATTTATTATACAAAAATTATGATTTAATCGGTAATACAGACGAGGTCAGACAACAACAACAGACTTGTGGTACACATTTACAAACTGCAGAGTATTTATGGCATATTATTATTATTATTTTATGACAAATTGGCAAAGACACTCTCTTTGCTATTGTCTTCTAAGAAGTAATGATTTTAAATCATTAAAATCATCTGGTATGTGTTGTGAGTGGATTTGAACCCGGATCTATGGCATAGAAAGCAACTCACAACTCTCTATGCCATGATTGCCACAACGATTTTAGGATCCCCTTTATCAAATTTCTTTAAATTTTAAGATGTGTGATTTTTTAACATGTAAAGTATTATAGATGCGAATATCATTTGTATTTTTTAATTATGTAGGGAAAATAATTGTTTTGCAAGGATACGACCATAAACATTTAAAATATCTCGAGAATGAAGCGAAGTTCGCAGCTCTCGGTACTCATGCTATTTATCATCGATGGTATCACAATCGAATAATGCTAGTGCTATCGGTATTTGGACGAAAAGAAGAAATTGAAGATATCTTTGACGGACTCTCGTATTTACGATAGCGATTTAAACAAACAGTTTTTAAATAATCAACAGTTTTAAGTAATCAATTAAAGCTATTTTTTTATTTATAATTTTTCCAATGCACTAGTTGCGATGTATCTCATGTATCAAAAACGGTACTCACGCAGTTAAATTAGAATTAAACGTAATGTCAATATATTTTTACACACGAAAATACTTCCAACGTTGTTACACCTCATTTATTATTATATTCTTTCATATCGATAGCTAATAGGGAAGAGAATATAATTATTAGCTAAAGCTACGTAAAAGTTATATTTGCAAAAATAATTTAAATTTAATAGAATTCTTCTAATCTTAATCATTCTATATAAAGGAGTTATTCCCACGAATATAAAGAAGAGAGTTCCTCAGAGAATTAAGAGAGAACGAACGAGAATTAAACAAAAATAATATCAATTATTATATTTTTACACATGAAAATACTCCCAACGCTGTTGTGTATCTCGTTCGTTATCATATCTTTCCACATCGATAGCTGCTACTTCATAGAGAAGAGAGTATACATATATTAGAGAGAGATACGTAAAGTTATATATTTACGTAAATAGTTAAAATTTATTAATTTATTGAATTTATATATAATCTTATTTATCCTATATAAAGAAATTATTTTCACGAATATGAGGAGGATCGAAATTCCTCACATGAGAGGAAAAACGGCCGAGAATTAAATATCATTATATTTTTATATACGAAAATACTTCCATTACTGTCATATCTCGTCCATTATTATATTTTTCCACATGGATAGTTAATACCTGATAAAGGAGATACTATAATTATTACTAAAGCTACATAAAAATTATATTATCAATTAAAATAGTTTATATTTAATAGAATTTATATAATCTTACTTATTCTATTCAAAAAAGTTATGTTTCCACGAATATAAAGAGGAAAATTCCTCATGAGAAAAGAAAACGGTCGAGAATTATGTGTGTGAATCGAGGGGATAACCACTCTTGAATTCCACAATTTGTCAGAAGTCTGATGAATTCCGGTGAAGTCTTGAAGTCCGAAATCCAACACCTATTTTTTGAGTGGTTACCCTCTCCGTGTGAACATATTATTTTTACATACGAAAACACTTCTAAAATACTGTTACATCTCGTTCATTACATCATACATCATATTCTTCCACATCGATAGTTGATAGAGAAGAGAATATGTATAGAGCTACGTAAAACTTACGTTTACAAAAATGATTTAAATTTAAGAGAATTTATATTTTAATTATTCTATATAAAGGAGTAATTATCACGAATATGAAGAGAGAGAAATATATTCCTCTCGTATTAAAAGAGAGAACAGCCGGTAAATAGAGAGTGTACCGATCGTGTCCTAGAAAGAACGGTAATATCTGACTCGCAGAGGGTTTGGCGAGTATCGCCGTCCTAGAAGCGCGTCACGTATACTCGGCGAGCGAGCGATGAAGGAAGTAAAGGACGTGTTAAAGCGCAAAAGGTTGCGAAGCGAAAGAGAGGCAGGCGCCACGCCCGCCCCACCATGCTACAGATCTGATCGCAGGGGGCGAGGGGGTGGGGTGTGTCGGGGGAAGAACGACTGGCAGCGGTCGGCGCAGCCGCCCGCCGCGTTTTATGCAACCAGTCTTGCTTCGGAGCGAGCGAGAATTCACTGCCCCGTTCTTTGATAGACGGGATAACGCGTGCAGTGTCATCGTTATTGTCCGCCGTCTCCTCCGCCCGTGCGTCTCGTGCGTACGTTAACGACTCCTCGTAACGTGCGTAACCCGCGGCTCTCCCGACAAAGGGATACGCACCGTAACGCACCGAACTTGAAACGAAATCCGGTACCCCGCTGTGCTTTTGAGGCAGGTCACGACGGTGCCTATCTATCTACGAGCCTGGCGTATAATATCGTATCGCTACCGTCTGTTTTCCCGTGCGCGCTGACATTGCCGGCAAGGCAAGGCAAGGCAAGGCAAGGCAGAGCGAGACGAGGCGAGGCGAGACGAGCGAGAACGAGCCAGCGAGCTGAGAGCGCGGCACGAAAGGTGACAAGGCGGGTGTCGGCGGTGTGTTCGCCCGATATTGTCTCGCTCCGCGCAGAGCTGTGCGCCACACGTACGAATCACGATCGGGGCACCCCTGCAGTGGTACAGTGTTGGCTCGTGTCCGCCGACGGAGTGTCAGTGCGACGGCGGTCGGTGGTGTGCTGACACACGGGTGCATTATCCGCGGCTGTGTGTGCGTGTGCATATGTGCGTGACGTGTGCGTAAAAGCGAGAGAGGCCGAGCGACGGGTCGGCGGTGAACGTGCAAGAGAGAGGGACGGGCGCGACGGCGATGCGGCCGTGAATCCTCGATACGTGGCTGCGTTCACGCCGCGTGTACTCCACACGACACGGATACAACGACAACAACGACAACGACGACGAGGACGACGAAGACGTCGACGACGGCGGCGACGACGATAACGACGACGTCGATCACGACGACAACGACAACGACGTTGTTGGTTAGGAAACTACGACCGAAGCGGCAGAAAAAGGCGCGTACTTATAAAAGGCGCTCCGAATTATCACGCATTCACGTAACCGCGACGCGTCACCTGACGCGTGCAGGTTCCTAGCTCGGTCGTCTCCTTCGACCTCCTCCTCTTCCTCGTCGTCACTATGGCGGACGACGAGGTTCTCTTCGACGATGTTTACGAGCTCTGCGAGATTATCGGCAAGTGAGTAATGAGAATCACCAGGCAGGGTGAGAATGTGTGAGAGAGAGAGAGAGAGAGAGAGAGAGAGAGAGAGAGAGAGAGAGAGAGAGAGCGTACGAATCTGCGAGTCAGGGTGTAAGGAGGTGGTGCGCGAGAGAGAAAGCGCGATGCGATTGGATGAACGTCAGTGGGCGGAGGTTACTTTTGAACGTGTTGGTCGCGTGCGTCTTGTACGTGCATGCGTTCTTCCCGCGGCTGCGCGAATGTGAACCTGCCGAACAGGGAAAATAATGTCCGTATACGCGCACAAAAGATCGCATCGGTGTGACACGGAACGAGTGGGTAACGATGTATAGGATAGGGGTAGGAGGGATGCGAGAGTCAAGTGAGGAAGACGAGTCAGGCGTCGTGTGTGTGCAAGTACCGCAAGTTCCTTCCGTTTGCCTCCCGTTTCCACCTTCGTCGAATTCCATCCGGTAATCCGACCCGTCACGCATGCTTACGGCCCGAATAAAATTGTATCATTTTTCTTGCTCATTCCTGTGCCGCGATACAGATAAATAAGGTACGCTTTACTCGTAATTTGTTACCCGTCAATCGATACACCCGAGAATGATGTACCGACATCTCGTTAAGTAATAATGGCTTTCGTAAACGTCTGCTCCTTATCGTGAAATTAAATTTTGAAAACTCGAACCGAGTTGTTTGTGAAAAGGATCCTTAAATTCTAGAGAGATAAGAATCAAATGTTTTCTAAATTCCTACACTTTCGATAGACAAGAAAAAAATGTTTTTCAAATTCTAAGAAGATAAGATTCAAATATATTCTAAATAATGTAGATGGCTCGTTTCAATAAAATCTTGACGGTTCTCGTTATCTCTCTTTCAAAATAAACGGTTTACTCGACATATTGACAACATCCCATTTGTCTATCAAGTCTATCTGTCGATAAATCATTATCTGGACCTTTACGTGTTCAAGGTTGACTTTTTCAATTAGCTCAAAAAGCAAGATTACATCTCCGAAAAAACATGCAGAAATGTTAAAACGTTAAAAGATCTAATAAAGATATTTAAAGCTAAAACATTTTGAAAATTCTTGATTTTTTTCAAAATTTGTATATGATAATATAAATGTCTATCATTTCTATTCAGGAATCTAAGTTGAAATTTTGAAAGAAATTCATAAAAAGATTATATTCGGATTGATATAAAAAAAATATAGGAAAATAGCCATAATTTTTTACAAAGGAATTTTTATTTATTTACGAAAATTTTTCTGAACGATTAATGAACCAAACATAAATACATTATTTACAATTTTAACCAATATATATTGATGTCGAACAAAAATTAAATTTTTTTTAAGAAATACAGTAACTATTAACATAGAAAAATGAATTCGTAATGATGTATTTCTACACCCAAAAAAAAAAAAAATATTCTGCCGTTAAGCGGGAAATTCCTCTTAGCATTTCCTCTAAGCAAAAAATCTTGCATTAATCTTACATTAATCAGGTGCGTGTATTTATAACATGTATTCATCTATAAAAATGAAGACATATGATCGAAAATAAATTCCTTTATAAAAAATTCTATTATAATAATTTGAATAGCCTTTTGAAATAAAAGGATACTCAAAATACTAGCGACACGCTTACTTGTTAGAAGAGGTTTGTCATTTACGTGCTACAGTAGCACTCGTGCATGTCAGTACATGCAAGACATTCTTTTAGTATTGAGAGGATCGCAATCCTAAATCCAGTACTTTAGGGTTATACGAAATTCCTTTATTTTGTAAAGTATCCTCTTGGGGTCATATATAAATGGAAAATCCTCTGACATTAACACGGAACTGCTAAATGGCAGAATATTTTTTTTGGGTGTATTAATGGAAAATTTACACAAAGATTTAATTGAAGCTTCTAATGCGTAGTTCTCATATTATACTGTTATGTTAGCAACGATCGATTTCGCCGAAACGGTTTATTTAATCTGTTGAAAGACTATAGGTTGAAAAGCAGAGATTGCTGTAACAGAAACGCAATTTCGTTTATATCGAAAGCCAATACTTGATTTATCATTCAATTGGCTAACCTTCATGTCAAAATACTATATGCTACCGGCTGCGACTAAAATATCTGTCACAAAGGCGTAGGTTATTCGACGATCATCGACTTATGACTCAGATTTATTCTCTGCCCGTCTAAACTATTTATAACTTACAATTATAATGCTGCTATAGATGGTAGGCAATTTATTATCTTCGTTTACTTTTTATATATAGCGTTTTTCACTCATTTGTATTTATTTTTATTTATATGTTACATTTTTTTATGTATTATTTCGTGATTCTTCAAAATCAGTATGAGATTTGTAGATATTAATCGGATATCTTACAAATATATTGAAGTATGCATATAAATTAAGCGTAATACTCCTTGAAATTACGTAACTTACTACTAATTAACTTTTATAAATTATTTTATATTTAAATAATTTTATAAGAGTCAATTAGTATTAATAGACTTTTATAAATTATTCAATATTTGAGAGAGGGTGACGTGAAATATCATCCTCTTTCGAAAGAGGAACATTTATGCATGCCGCGATTTAATATAATTAAAAAGAGAAAGATTAGAGAAATCATCGATTAAACGTACATCTTTGCAGAATTAAAAGATGTTTGCCATACTTGTTAGTGCTTTTATCAGCGTAACGTAACATTAGATAGTCGAATTTTTGTCTAATGCATTATCTTGGTGTTATCAATATATTCTATTTTAAGTTCTGTCCTTGTGTAATAATAGATTTTCTAGTAAATTGAGAATTAACGTTATTATTCGGCACGAACTATTAGTAATATTTTTGCTGAAAACTATTTATGAAGATGTATTCAATCATACGGTATTGTCACACACAGTGTTATAATTCATTTAAAGCGGAAATCCTGATAAATTAGCATCACATATTCTGTCTCCATTATGCCCATTGAAGTCCATTATGCCAAACTCGCTAATTAAACCATGTTTATAAATTGATCGATCAGTAGAAAATATACAATAAACAGCTAATCTTTTAATATCGATCAGGAAAATATTTATTTTTCGAAAAATGAATAAATTATAAAATTATTGAGTTTGAAATTATTGAGGCTGATAAATATTAATCAAATGTATGATAATGATTTGTTTTTGTTGTCAAACAAGTTGGGAATTGATCAACTGCATATAACATTAATTTCTTGTTATTTTCAACTGTGTAATTAAGTAGAAACGCTTTGTCGCGTAACAATTGGTGCAGAAACATTTCAATAGGGACAGTTTGAAGAGATCATCCTACATACATATGCCTACATATGGATCTCGTCAATTAAATTCAGCATGAGGTTATCGAGAAGTGGCGCATTCTTCGTTCGTTACAGTTAATTGAATTCGCACAGCCGACGATTCTGCGTCAATTGAACTTAAATGCTGTAAGCTATAGTTGGGACAAATGGTTCTTTAAAAGTCGTTCCTTTCAATCGACTATTACACAAATTTTGTTCCCTATTTAAAATATTATGAAGTAAATACGCCCGGAACGATAATGTCTTTTATTATACGTATCTATATATTTTATTTCGTAGCCATTGAATTTAATTCCTCTAACAGTTCTCAACTTTATGACTTTTATAATTGAATTTCCACTCGGCTAAATAAATATTTAGTATGTTTCGTCTTTTTTGTGGAACGTGACAGGCCCATAAAAGACTGTGTACACAACATTTAATTATCTTTTATATTACAGTCGCTGCAAGCTTTGCAATTGAGTTTCTAAATTATATGCATCATGCGAATAATGTATATTATACCTCATAAAAGAGAAAAAATACGTAAAAGCTAAATAAAAATGTACAAACAGCTAAAAACACGGAGATAAAATTATTATTAATGTTGCACATTTGTTTCTTTATGGATATTACTAGATAATAAATAAGGATCAGTTGTATCGAGAGCTGTTGTGGAAATGGAAACGGACTTATCGAACAGAAGCCCTCGACACTTTTACCTCGGTGCTCCATCGCTTCGCTGGAGAGCGAAAGCACCGAGAAATCCCCAGAATGCTTCGACGGTTTTAAATCTCGATGCGGACATGTACAAGGCGAGATATACGAGGCGGCGTGCTCTGCTTTTACGATTCACGCCCTACTTTTTATTTGTCACGCAAACTTCCGAAAGGCCCTATGTGTGTTTGCGTTCTTTAAAAGGTAGAATAAACTCTTACTGTGATATTTGTCCTTGAATTTAATTATACGAATCTAATTTTTGAAATAATTTGAAAAGAAGGAAATGGCATTTATATCATATATTTTCAAAAAAATACACTAACGAATATTAAAATATGCTTTTATAGAAGTTTAATACAAATAATAATTTTTTTTTTAATTTGTTTGCTGCACATTTGGTATTTTACTTTTATGTTTGACTTTTACTTTGATATTTAAAAATGTTTACTTAGTATTGAAATATCGTATTTTATTTCAATGTATAATAGAAGTTGTTGTAATAAATAAATGTGTCATTCGATGCATCTCAAAATAAATTTTTTTTTATTTTATAGAGTATATAGAGTACGTTCTATATCTTTTTTTTGTTATAAAAATATTGGATATTTAAGTTAGAGTTTAAAATATTTTTATTATCGTAACTCTGCTTTGAGATATAATAATAAAAGATAATGATTTTATTTAATACATTATTTATTCATCGTAAAGATATATAATGAGATAGCATTTTCTGTGATTATTAATAAAGCAACTTTAATATATTACATAGATATAAACGCATTATATAAATATATAAAATATGCATATACGTGGAATGATTTTCTACAAATATTTTGTATAAATATTTTCGATAAGCATTATATTATATTTAATATTTTCCAATAACATAATATTCTAATGAAATTCTGATTTAAAGAAAAAATCCACGAGGAAAAAAAACTTTTCTCTTATTCAAACGTGCTCACTATTCACG